CACTGAGTCGCCACAGCAGCACTCTTTTCTTTGTATATACATATATGGCGGAGTTGTCATAGCATATTTGTTAATAGACGGGACCTGGATGCAGCAGAGAACGCCCCTCTTCATCGTTGGATACAACTATCTTGTATGATAGACGGCACAGGCGAATAAAAGCATATCAATTAAACCATCGCCGTATGAGCAGTGATACCTTCGAATGCGTGCAAATACGTACCTTCCATACTTCACACAAAGGATTCACAACGAAATGCCTGGCGAGCCGCGGATGGCTAACAAAGAGATAAATTCCTTAACATACCTACAAGATGAGGAATCTTGCAAATTAAAACGTACCTGATAAATGGAAATGATAGCCTACCAATACTCTAACGCCACCTGTTCATTTTATTCCGTAGTAATGTGCACTCCATATATCACCGCTCTTGTCTCCTGTTGCATTCGCTTCTTGTTGCGGCCGGGTATATCCTTCCCTATCTTCAGTGCGCCGTCTGGCCACTTCCACAGTCATCTATGCTAACTCATCTAGATCACTCATTTCATCGCCATCCGAGTCTGACATTCGCGGGGGAGGATTCCCGTGCTCTTGTACTCTCGGCGTATCAAAGAAGTCTCTATTCCACCAATTCTCGGCTCTGTTGGAAGCTCCTCCCGGCTGTACATTTAGCCCGATATGTGCCCATTGAGCATTGTCGCGTGGGCTTGGAGGATCATCAAAGTCCATGGGTTCCGGCTCGTCGAAGAGCTGCCCTGGTTCGTCATCTCCAGCCCGAGAGGGCTCGGAACTAAAATGATTCTCATGAACTGAAATGGGACTTACGAGGTTATCGGCGCCGATGCCGACACCGAGGCCTTGGGTTTGTTGTGCCACTTGCGCCGGTCGGGAGGGCAGAGGATGTCTTTGGGGCCAGTCAAGTGAGAAGGCCATGGCGATTTCACGAATATCTACGTTAATGCTGTCCCATTCGTCGAGCCTCAGATGGCGACCTGCAGAAGTTGCAGTTCGGTAGCGATGGACCAGTCTTCCTAGTGTCAATAATGCCACAGAAATTAGCGTTGGAAGATGCTGTCTTGAAGTGGAGAGTTGAGCAGCAAATCGGAAGCAGAGGTCAATAAGCAGGTAGCCTAGATGCCACTCTGACGTAGCAATTGCGCTTGGAAGGGGATCTGGTATCACATCAGAGTCATCTCTCGGCAGCCCTTCGAATACTCGTCGATCCTCGCGGGCACGTTCATCGCGGGCTTGTTCGAAGCGCCGGACGAGCTGGTGGTGTCCGCCTCGTTCAAGGTATAAGGGATAGTTTTCGAGAGCCTCATGCCATGTCAGCGCTATGTTTTCGGATAGCCAATCTCGAAAGGAGTCGACGCCCTCGGTGTGCGGATAGAACTGAAAACCTACTGTATCATGAGTACGGATGCAGTCACGAAGATCACGGAACTCGAGAAGCGTTGCCGCATCGGCTCTCTGGCCGAGGTAAGCATGCTCATAGTCATTAATGTCCATCCGAAGCTGGATTTCTGCCGAAGGCGGAGGGTCGAACACGCGGATGTTGCTCACTGTCCACTCTCTGAACGTCAGAATGCGTTCCTCTCGGATAGTGCTAGTCGGGGTCAAGGTACTCAGATATGTTCGAATTTGATGCCCTATATTTCGTCGAAAGTTCCGAAAGCGCCACAAGTGGTTAAGTGTGCCATCACTTAACAAATAGCTCGCATACGCCTCTTCTCCTTGTCCAAAATACCCAAAGGTTTCTGGGATTGGAGGGTTCGCTGAGCGAATATATGTGTTGAACGTCATTAAATGGCCAGTCTCGTCTTCGGGCACATATTCTAAGGCGCTGTATGCGTCACGGAGTATTTCTCGCGCTCCCGCTATAAACCTGGCCGGGTAATTGATATCAGGGAAGCCCCTGAGATACTCGAGGTAGCTTTCTATTTCCTGATCAAGTGTCTCATCTGAGATGTTCTGGTGGTTTTCCCTCGACCAGTCGCGGAAGCAGAGGGGAGTCTGATGGCTGGCTTCCTCTGGTGGACTATTCGCGGATGGGAATATTGGCTGAGTAGCATTAACCCGTTGATTCACTTCTGCCACTGCAAGTTCCGAGATCAACTGCCTCGCTATTGTTACATCTTCTGCTCGAAGAATTCTATCTCGTGTCTCTCTAGCGCGTGGACGGAATTGTCTTCTTGCAAGTTCTTCATCATTGAAAGGGAATTCTCGGTCACCTCGAAGATATTCCAGAAGAGCCTTGGCGCGTCCCGTTGCTTCAACATATCGTTGTTCCTCTTCTTCGCGGTTTCTCCTACATCTATTACAGAGCCGAAGTCGGACTCTGCGTCCCATTACTCTATGGGAGGGATGAGCAATTTCTTCCTCTGTGCAGCGGTCATCGTCGCTGTCAGGTATTATTCGTCGTTCCCCGCAACAGCGGTAAATAAGCACAGTTCCTCGACACATATTTGATGTCGGTTAATGCGTAGGCGTTTGCAATATGGCAGTGAGTTACGGGCTACTAAATATGGCTCTAGAAATCTGTTTCTGTTCCTGTGATTATTGAGTTCGTTGCCTGTTGAATCTTCTACGGGAGGCTAGATTTTGATATTTATCTCTGACAATAACATTGTACTTAATTTCACTTGACAAAGAAAGGCCGTTTGATTGGAATTGTCCCGATACCATTGAAAGAGTAAGAGTCAAATGCCACAAGGTCTCGAGGACAAGCCGTGCTTCGTCTTTGATCCGGCAGCCTCCATTGAATATTTACAATGGATGAGACTGGAGCTTGTTATTATGATTCGAATCTCTCGTAGGGGCTGTTTTTGAAAAGTTCAAAGATATCAACCTGTTCATTTAGCTTGGTCGGAGCGCGCTTCTGACTGTTACTAACTGGTATGAAAAGATTCCAGATATTTCACAACCAGAGAATTTTCCTATCTTCAGGGTACTGGGATATGGAGCCGACATCCTAATAGTAAGTAAGGATAGAGGAACTTACTTCATCACATTTTCGACAACCCGAATATCGATCTCGAGATAATAGTGATGCTTCTACAACGAGGGCGCTATATATGCAAGCTCTTGATGAAACAAAATATAACGAGGGACTCCTACCTCTCCGCAGTGCTCTACGTACTCTTTGTCCACAAGTTTGCTTGTTTCTCTGAGACTTGGCGCCAATCTGCTTGAGCCGGACCCAATAGGCGCAACAGCCGTACACCATATGGCAGGCAAGCATTTACAGGTCTGCCAACCCTCGCGGAAGCGATTCACTGAAGAGCATGGTAGAGACTATTATATGGACTGTCTAGATCTATGGAAGAAGTTCCTGGACTGCGGATGCTCTATTAACGTTTGCGACAACATTAAGACGATATTTTATGAGGACAAATTAGATGTCACTATTAGGAATAACGAAGGTGAATCGGCGCTACACGCTATTGCAAGGAGAAAACGGACACCTTATACAACAAAGTCACATGACAAGCATCTGTCTCAATTATTTTTGAAAGAACTGGATCCTCTTTCTGAAGACCAGAACGGGAGGACTGCGCTGGATGTGGCCGCCGCTACTGGTAAGACGGGAATCTTAGAATTATTTCAGCGAGCCTAGGGAGTTTAATTATAAGCGTGCACATGCATGAATACGGTATGCCCCCCTGAGATCACGGATTTAAGTTCAAGAAATACACGCGATTGCTCATCATATCATTTGGGGATGGCCGGTTGATTTTTGCTTCAGGCAAGCCTCTGCGATGGTTATACGGGACTATACTCTGCAACTTGAAATGGTCATTGACAATGGATATAGAGACATTGATAGGCTGAGTTTTCATTCCTTCTTCCATTCCTCGAATTCCACTGCCAGGTGTTCCTTGAGCAATGCGAATTTGACTCCAAAATCCCTCCCACAACGCCAGCATTTTAAATTACTATTTAGGTAGCCATTCCTCCCAGGATGCCTTCTCTCATCATCGGCGGATAATGGGAAAGCATCCAATTCGACGAAAAATGGCGTTGAGAATGAATTGTAATGATTCTTATAGCGCATCTTCTCTGAGAAGCAATCCACACTTATGACATGGATATGTAAGTGGTTCATAGACGGATGTGCATGTATCCCAACTCGTACTTCTTGCTCCCAATCGCGGCCTTCGGGTAACTCCTCGCCATCTTTCAGCTCCACTTCGCCATTTAGGACTGCTTCTCGGGCTTTCTCCTGGGCCGAGAATCGTGCATATCTGCGCTGAAGTTCCTTCGCCACTAGTGTCTTAAGCTTCGCTGCATTTTCCCGCACTGAAGCAAGGAATTCCCTATCTTCAAAGGCCGCAACGGGGTGCATTCTCTGATGCTTGGGAGAGCGTGGAAGGAGGAGGCAGTGCACACTGGATTTGGGATAAAGGTCATTGATCCCGACAAATTCATCGTTGTAGAATATAATTTGAGACACGTTGCTCCTCTCGGGGTTCTGAATGTAACTTCCTAAACCGTCACGTTTGTCAAACTTGCTGAAAGCATTCGATGTTGATTTGTGCAGGATGTTCGCCGGTTTAGTCGGTACCTTTCCTTCTCTCGACATCAGTGCAGTAACTAGAGACAAGTAAGTACTTGTCAATATTGGGTTCTCCATAGCGCGTACAGGCATTCCGTGGGATAGGATGGGGCGAGGCTGATGACGAGGCTGGAGGTACATTGGGTGGTTTTTGATCTAAATTTGGATCTGAATCATTCCCTTCAGACATGATGAGCTATGATCTAAATATATAGATTCTAGCTCTACTATTTGTGTGCTTTCATAGAGTGCTCTCTTATTCTGAGAGGCGATGAGCTTCAGCCAAAATTTAATGGTGTCGAGACTATTTGCGACTGATGGAGAGAAGGCAGCAAGGTACTTAACCGAACTCGGCGTCCAAGCGAATATCTGTAAGCGAACAAGAGACAACATGGAGGTCAAATAAAAAATATAAAAATAAAATTGATGGCTATTTCTCGGCCGCGACAGCTGCAGGATTTGAGCTGTGCCTGAAGGCATATGATATCGAAAACTACCCGAGTCATACGTATTAACCACTCTACCAAACTTAACACGTGATGTTGTCCGACGCGGTTTAGGTGTCGGGAATTCTTATCTCATAATATAAGCAGATTGCGCTCTCACACACTTATCATCAAAGAATACTCCCTTTCTTGACCCCTTCTGTAAACACTGATTGCCGGTACATTAACGTAAAAATGCCTCTGGAGCAGAAGAACTGCCATCTCCTCCTTGTCAACCCCAATTCCACCAGCGCAATGACAACGGACCTGAAGCGACTCTACTCCGAAACTCCTTATGCAACTCTCTCTTTCGTCGACGGCTCGGATATATCAGGATGCCCAGCGGCTATAGAGAATCAGACAGATTCTGTTATCTCAGCCGCACTAATGCTCCCGGTCATTCTGGAAGCTGTCGCCAAAACACGTCTGGACGGCATTCTAATCTGTTGCTTCTCAGACCACCCATTGGTACAGGTTCTACGTGAGAACGTTCATATTCCCGTGATGGGAATATTTCAAGCATCGCTACATGCAGCTACTATGTTAGATCGCAAGTTTGGCATCGTGACCACGGCGATGGCCTGGCAGCCAATTTTAACGACATCCGTTCGAGTCGCTGGAGCACTCGATTCTAGCGCGGGTGTGATATCTACAGGTTTAGGGGTCTTGGAATTGGAATCCAGGCCAAGAGATGAGGTTCTTAGAAGGATTGAAGAATGTACATCTAGGTTGATTGATCATGGTGCACGCTGTATCATTCTGGGCTGTGCAGGAATGGCGCCCCTAGAGAAATTACTCAGGGATATTCTTCCCAGTGAGATTAAAATCATTGATGGAGTTAGATATGGGATACAATTTCTCACCGCCCTTGCTTTGGCATAGCAATTGTTAATTGACAGAATTTCTCCCTACATATACCAACCTGGATAACCACTTAAGAGGCCACAGGCAGGACATCAGGATCAGGGCCGAGGGGAAGAAAATTCTTCCTTGGTGTCTGCGCATAGCCCTTTTTAATCTGAAGCTATCAGTATTCAGCCTCTCTATATATATGGATGGCCTTACCGCATCAAAAAAAGTCGACGCTTTAAATGCGCCCCTCGTCTCCCCACTCTCGTCCCAGTACAACCTCAAAAACCATTTCTGAATTTCAGGGTAGTCATGACGAATCATCTTCAAATTACACATGAAGAGTGCATAATAAGCAACATCGAACCTTGCGATTGTGGGATATAATCTGATATCTGCTTCGGTGACGTGCGACCCGAACAAGTAAGGTCCTGTCGATTTGGCTAAGATATCCTCGACACGGTCGAGAGACTTGAAAATCGCGCGGACAGCCTCTTCATGAGCTGATTGGTTGGCAGCGAATCCAGCTTTGTACACACCATTATTAATGGTATCATACACCCAGGAGTTCATATCATCAATTTCAGAAAGGAGATGAGGTGGCAGAAGCCCACCATCTGGCTTGTTTTTCTCCTGTAATGAGGCAGGAAGGAAAGCATCGAACGCAGAGTACAGCATGCGGATTATCTCAGACGATTCATTAGAGACAATAGTCTCATGGACTTTGTCCCAGAGGACAGGAACGGTATAACGGCCGGAAAAAGAAGGCTCTGCTTTGAAATAAAGCTCGGAAAGGCGCTTGAAGCCATAAAGAGGATCAATCTCATCGCTTCCATCACGGCCGGTAAATGACCTGGGCATGTATTTAGAAATATATAATGAATAGAGGACACTCGGCTCACCATCCCTCGGGAAACAATTCCCAGTCCAGAACGACCATTTGAATTACGTCTTCTAATCCTTTCAGTGTCCTCACGAGATTGGCTCTCGAAGCCCAAGGACATCCACGATTCATATAAAGTACCTAACGAAATTATTACCGCATAATATAATAATTATCTTTATAAACATGTAGAAAAATATGAGCATACATAGCGATCCTTTTCGGCCGGAAAACGAGCCCCTGGCTCAGTTGAAACCCACGATCTGAAAGAGGATACCTGCCGCTTGAACGTCCCATTCTTTTCGAAGTTAAATTTGTAGACATCCTTATCTTCAGGGTTATCTGCAGTGGATGGAGCCATTGTCACAATAATCGGCCGGTGCAAATTGACGACTGTAGAGCGCAACTGCTATCTTTTCTAGAGATGTGCAATAACTCTAGAGATATACAACTTGGATGGGAATATGTTCACCAAATCGAGATAAAGCTTAAAATGGTGCAAGACGATATCACCTGACGTACATGACCATTAGAAATTGAGGGTCGAGCTTACAGCATCGATTATAAATATTTAACTTTTATTTCGCGGGGTTGATTATGAAGCGGAGAACTTCGGAAGCCGGCTCGGAAGCCGAGACGCTGGCTGTGGGACTACACGAGTAGCTATGTGAAGACTAATGCCCGCGACATCCACTTGGACGCCTGATGTTTATCTTATCAATCTTAGCTCCTATGTACTGTACTTTATCTCAATCGATTCTAGTGTTGGAGGAGAGTTTTGAAGCCAGTAGTGTTACCATCCTTTGAGCTGTCAGCACTACAGGGCGCACAGTATTCCCTGACTTATAAATCGGGGCTTCATCTAACAGTCAATTCAACTTAGGGTAATATTTTGCGAACCAGCACGAGTAAGATGGAGTTGCATGCAACAAGAAATACACCCACCGATTAACTACCCACCCCTTTCACCATCGTCGACCTTTTTTCTTCTTCTCTCGTCTTCTTGTTGCTCCTTTCTTGCCTTAGTGGCACGACGCCACTTAGGACCGTTATTCATAACGTACCAGAGGATAGGGCTGAAGGCATAGACTAGAAGGCCAAACAATGTTGTTGTCCAACCCATGCCAACCTTGTTGATCAGAGGTACCACGCCACTTGTTGCACCAGCCCCTAACCAGCAGCGAACCAAGTTATTAGCTGCCGTGGCAGTGCCTGCTTTCCCGGGATATATGTCAATGAGCAAGACAGAGATTGTGTTTATGGACGAGCTTGTACAGAAGCCAATGAAGAAGAGGAGGATCAATGGACCGGCTAGATTGACTTTGTATTGAACCATCCACCCAAAGCCAATGGTACATGCCGATCCGAGAGCGACGGTTGGAATGGCCACTTCTAGACATGCCCTCTCGATTGGGAAGTTACTGAGATCTACACGACGATTGATTTCTAGTGGCATGCCTAGGCGTTTGGCGTGGTACCTGTATCTCGCATCGATGAACTGGCCGCGTACAAAGGCGGCAAGAAGGCTTCCGCAACCTAGAGGCAGATGACAGAGCGAAATCTGGATCTGGTTGAAGCCATAGATCGCTCCAAACTGGGAGGGGATCAGAGCTGTTGTGGCATAGAAACAGCAGCACATGATACCGATATATCCCAATATAAAGCCAGCCTCTTTTGTAAATACAATCTTGACTGTTTCTAATGGATTAGGAAATCTAAGCTTGTTCTTCTTGGCAAGTTCATCCCGCTTATCGTAAGGGATAGGTCGTCCTTCCGAGATTAATCTCTTCTCGATCTTTGTGTTGATGTAACACCAGATCTATTTGGGCGGCGGGACAGATCCATCGTCCACAACTTCCTACAAGTCTCTGGCATAAACAGAGCGACCAAAACAAACACCACGGCTGTGCAGATAAGCAAGAACCAGAACACCGAATGCCAACCAAGTTGCTGCCCGAGAAGACCACCGATTATGGGACCAAGCGACGGTCCAGCCTGCGGGGCAACCGACATGTATGAGATGTAGACCCCCCGCTCTTGCGATGTGACGATATCAGATACGACTGCCTGAGCAAGAGCTACAGTGCCACTGCCCCCTGCAGCCTGGAGACAATGTAAGACCATCAGCGCGGCATAGTTGCTTTGGATACATAGGCCGATATTGGCAGCCATATATATAATGAATCATATAAAGTAGGTAGGTCTCCGTCCTGAGCTGTCAGAGAAACCACCAACGAATGCAGGTGCAAAACCTTGCATAATCTGGCCCAGGTCAGGACAAAAAGTTCGACTCTCTTCTAATCGCACTTACTAAGTAAGTTGTGATTGTTAAGTTGACTAGAGAGGAGGACACATGAAGGTCGGCGGCAATGGCATCGAGGGATGGAAAGTAGATCTGGCCCGAGATTGGAGAGAAGAATGCGCAGAGGCCTGCGCAGAGGATGATCATTTTCTTCTCGTTATGGGTGAAGACAGAATATGGTTTATCATCCATCTTAAACTCTGGATTGCCATTACCAATCTCGTCTTCCATCTTTTTCTCGGTTTGCTCATCCTTGTACGTGGGATCTTGGGCCATGTCAATAGCAAGGTCATTCTGTTGGTTATCAGGGTGCGAGTTGTTGCGAGCCGGTGGACGATGTGATGATCCCCTGGCTGGATTCATGCTGGCGTGGATCTTTTGGTGTCATTAGAAGTCCATCACCATTATCAGCCATGACGACTACCAGCTTTGCTGGTGTTAGTTTATTGGGCTTTGCTCTGTCATGTATATCAGGGCCGGAATTTGGTCTTCAAAGCTATTTTTCCGAGCCCAAGTAATGAAGGGAACAGGCAAGCAATTGGCCTTTCTGAATAAGATTCTTGAAATTTTACAGCAGCTTTCTCTTGCAGCTTGGATATATTTTTATCATGGGGATCTTCAATATAACTCTTGTGTAGGTCCGGTCATCGCGGAGCGAGTTGTTAACACCGGCCGAGCGATCGCCGTATCGGTGCTGTCACGCCGGCCTTGTCACTCTAGCACCAACCTCAAGTTGTTCGCTAGGGATATATATTGCTGGAAAACTGTTACAAATAGCCTATTTGAATTCTCTCCCTGTTTTTGAGAAGCATACTTGCTAATTGTTCTAAAATAGCAGTTGCGCAATATTAAGCACTCAGCAGACTGTGGTCCCTTTCCTGCACCACGTTTGAGATAGTTACAGCACTCTGAATCGTCCCATCTTGGCATTATCAACTGCCGGGCCACGAGAATCAGCAGTCATGGCAACGCTGGCAGCCACATTCAATACAGGAGACCAAACGACACCTGGTT